GACGTTTCAGTCCTGGCCCTGAATACCATTTTGTCTAGCAGTGAACAGTCACTACTGTGCAGGCTAGTGCTTGTGTGTATCAGGAACCCATTTATTGCCCAGGGACAAGAGAAGATGAAATGTGATAATAACGGGCTAAGTCAGTTGCTGTAAGAGTCTCACCCTACCTTGGGAGCTGAATCAAGTGTTGTGCTCAGAAACCTGGTTATAAAGGTTTCTGTGAGTGTTTGCTGACATACCCCTGTCGGATCTGGCTTGCTTAGGAGCATTCTTCTTGTTGACTTGCTCTTTCACCTCCCACCCATTGAGATCTTTGTCTCGATTTGTGATTCATGCCTGATTCACCCAAGTGGGTAGTAAACTTGGCAGCAAGAATCTCCTTAGTTTGAGGATTCCAGAAACCTTTAAAATAAGGGACAAAAGCACAGAAACCATCTGCTGAAAGTATAAAGTAAGTACCTTGTATGACAAATGCAGGGATGATTTTTTTTTTGTTACTTGGAGCATTTTTGTTTTACCTATGGGAAAATCTTGGACATTGGCTTCCTATACAGAGTCTGTGTGGATATTGAAGCTATATTTTTCCCAACAAATAACAGAAAAATGACATGTATGTCTCACTTTCTCCATTGCAGTATGATGCCTTGTTCGGTCTTCTAAGTTTCTTCAAATATCAAACAATCCCAAGCCTAAGATACAGTCAGAATAATTAAAAAAAAAACAAAAGGGAAAAAAATAATGGAATTTTTGATTACTTGCAACAGAACGCTGGTATTTGGTGCTTGAGATATTTTAAGTGTGCATATGTGTGTAGAGATTATATATACGTATATATTATTAGAAGAAAAAACAAGGATAATTATAATCTGCATATATTTGGCATAAAAATGTCTGCTGTTCCAGGATCTGTGTTTCATCAAGTCAACTGCCTGCCTCTTTCAGATCAGCGAAGGCAGCTACACTAAGCCTCAAACTGAAAGAACTCAAAGCAGAATCCCTCAGTAGGCAAATTCTGTGACTGTAACCGGAAAGATACCACATTGCTCAGCAACTCTCACTATCTTTTTTTACAGTCAAAAAATTAAAAAAAAAACAAAAGGGAAAAAAATAATGGAATTTTTGATTACTTGCAACAGAACGCTGGTATTTGGTGCTTGAGATATTTTAAGTGTGCATATGTGTGTAGAGATTATATATACGTATATATTATTAGAAGAAAAAACAAGGATAATTATAATCTGCATATATTTGGCATAAAAATGTCTGCTGTTCCAGGATCTGTGTTTCATCAAGTCAACTGCCTGCCTCTTTCAGATCAGCGAAGGCAGCTACACTAAGCCTCAAACTGAAAGAACTCAAAGCAGAATCCCTCAGTAGGCAAATTCTGTGACTGTAACCGGAAAGATACCACATTGCTCAGCAACTCTCACTATCTTTTTTTTTTTTTTTTTTTAAAATATAACATCACTCAAATCACTAGACCTCTCCATGAGATGAAACCATGTGGTTGGCTGTCCCAGTGCTGCACTTGCTTATGAAAAATGAAATCCCTAATAACCCATCGAAGTTGGCTGCTGTGAAACTGCAGCATGGAAAACTCCTTGGTTTAAGGGAATATAACCTGATAACAACTTCCCTTGGTAGAATATTGTAATTTTAACAAAGCAATAGATTCTTTGTTAAAGTGTTAGATTTATTTTTTTAATAGGTTGTAATTATAATATGGTAGTTACTGATTCCAATTACATGGAGAGAGAAGCATATCTAATTACAGGGTAGTAAAATTATCGTAGTAGTTGTCTTGGTTGTGGTCTGCTCAAGGGATTGGTAATGACAGGTAGTGGCTGCATCAAGACAGACAAGAGCAAAGTTTTGTTTGGGCTAGGATTAGTTCATAAAACTAATATGGTTAGTAGCTTTGGACCTATATTTAATTTCTATGTTTGTGCAGGGTCCAGTATGTCTGGCCAAAGCCAATTCAAATAAAATGACAAACATTACTGAAAATGGATAGCGAATCAAACTATTTAATGAAATAATTGAGCCAAATGGCATAAAGAATTAAGAAAACAAACTAGCTTTCAAGCTGATTTATTTTAGTTTTAATAAACTAAGGTAAACAAAACAGTCAAGGATTTTGTAGATAAAATTAACTCACAGGGTTTTTAAAACATTAAGTAAATGTATATACTATAAAAAGTGGAACTGAAACAGTAATAAAACTGTAAAACATACACAGAGTTTGGAAGGAACAAATATTGAGAGAGAGCTATTTGCAGGACTAGCCCCCTACCACCTGCTCACACTGGTACTTACGACAGCTCTGAATAATCGTACGGACCCTGTGTGGGCTTGTTGTGTCACTCAGAGCAGTGTGGGTGCTCGTGTGCGACCCAGAAAGGAAGAAGGAAGATAAGGTAGGGGGAAAAAAAAACACAGCAGAAAGGTGAGCCGCTGGAAAATGACTAATAGTGTGCATGGATAAGTCATAACTGATACCCAGCTCAGTAATGCTTAGTGTTAGGTTAGGGCGTCCTGCCTCCAGCTAATGGTCTGATGGGTTCCCAGGTTCCCAGGTGTTACTTTTCCAGTTACTGTGTCCCCAAAGTGGCCAACACCCATTACTTGCTCAGGTACTTGCTCATTTGCAGTGTTGGCTGAAATTGCCAGGCAAGGCATTGCTTGGTGCTTTTGCGTTTTGAGCACGTGGCTCTAACAGATTTCTTTTGAAACACATGTAAGTAACTTTTTGATCATTAGAGTTTTCTGTATTCCTTGCAAGTCCCTGTGGAGAAACTTTGTTCCTTCTAGGAGTTAGTGAGATGCTGAGTAGGCTGTAGCAACCAGCATTACAGATCAGATTTCAGCCCCCATATTCCAGAGTGGCAAAATTTAGCCTACATGATGTAAAGACTTTAAGAGAACAGTAGATTATGATGACTGACAATTAAGTACTTTCTTAAAGCCTTTTAGGAAACAAAAGTTACAAAGAAATTTCTCACTGTCCTTTTGTTTCTTGCTGTTATAATAGCTCTCTGTAGGCTTGTGTAGGCTTTGTACAAGTGCACAAAAAAGACAACAGGACCTTGGATAAAGAAAATACTGAAATTAGCCTGGGAAAAGGATTCAAGGGTCATTGTTTACTGTAGTCTAGCAGAATTTCCATTAAACTTTACCAGCTCAGGCAAGAAACTACTCCTCCATTCTGCTGCTGCTGAAAGAATTAACTTTTTTAGGTACCCTGTTGATTTATGTTACATATCGGTGTACTTTTGTTTTTTACTCACTAGTTTTAAGTAACATGCTGGTATTATTGAACCTGATGGATTATTTTTTTTTCTGATGGAAAGTTTTTTTTTATTCCATCCTTCCCCCAACACTTCCTAGTTTAGATATGATTAGTGGCTTTGAATGACTTAATTTAGGACTCAGTGCTGAAAATTCCTGTTTATGTTACCTGTTTGTCATTGCTTGCCTGAGGGTAGTTAGTGTTTAAGGTGTTCACAGAACTGAGGTATTTGCTTTCATTTTACCCTTAAGTAAAGGATTTTATTTGTTTTTCCAAAGAACAGCAGAGGGAGGTTCAGGTCCCTAGTCACTGCTACCCTTAGGATTCAGAGTGGCTCTTCTGTCTCTGAGGGATTTACTGTATGCTCAGAGAGAGATTTCAGTTGTTTTATACTGCCTGTAAAATAACTCAGCCAGAAAAAACACACCCAATTCAGGGAGTCTGCACTAATCTGTTCAGTGAGCTTGTTTTAGCCCTTGTCCTGAAAGGGAGGGTTTCAGGAAAGTCTGGTTGTTCCTAGGGATTAGTTGTTGAGGATAGTGAGGCCTGAGCCAGAACCCTCTAAAATGACTGAAAGCCCTCCCTGTGAGTTTAGTGGGTTTTCCTCAGCCAACTCCTACTAGTGTATTTGGGCAGGATCATCGTGGCTGCACTTCTGCTTACTGCTAACGTATGATGTTGTGCTCTCATCATGGGAAAAGGCCTGGAGAAAGCTGTGCTCACAGGAACCAGTGGCTCTTGGTTGCTGCTCATCTTTGCATTTTCTTAATGGATAGACAGGATGGCAACAGCTACCTTTATCCAGGGTTGAAGAGGCTGGGAGTTCCTCATCTGGCCAGCATCTCGTCTGCGTATACGTGTGCTAACGCAGGGTATGTCTGCTGCATCTGCTGCAGGGACTTGTGCTTCTTTGCAGTGCTGTGCTTTACGTTCAGAAGAGTGATTCAGAAGAGTAATCCAGATCCATGGTTCCAGCAGCACAGCCTGTCACACAGGCTGACCCGTTGGCAGGAAACAAGCTTTTCCCCTCCTCAGTATCCCACACTTTTTATTGCTTAGGAAGATACATGTAGTGTGTCAGTTACAGTTTGAGTAACTTGCATGATGAATCTACGAATGTTAATGTATCTCATGTTTGTCTCTTGGCCCTTTTGGAATGGTTTCCTTTTTCCTATTGGAAAACTCCTGAGTATATTGATCTCGAGGCATGTGAAAAACAGCATTGATGACGTCAAAGGCATCTGTCTCTGATTCAGACGATACAGAGATATCTGAGTTTTCCTTGAATATATGTGAATAGCATGCACTGGCTGGGAATCTTGAAGAAAGGTGGGCTTGGAGAAACCCAGGCAGAACAAAAGATCAAGGAAGACTGAGCAGGAATCTAGAAGAAACAGGGGCCGAGGGAGTTACGGACTGGCAATACAGATGGGCAGTGGTAGCAGTCCTCTTTGCCTTTGCAGCATAAAGCAGTGATTTGAAAAGCACACAATACCATTGCAAACAAAAGAGGAAGAGATCTTTCTTTAGAAATAGAAGTGAGAAAGATTCCTCCTACAGCAGGCACATCAAGTTTTCATCTTCCCACTCACACCACTGCTCAAACAGCATGCAGCCTTGTTTGCATTCTGCTATTTGCATCCTGGGTGAGTGAGCTGGGAGACTGGAAGGTGTGGTAAAATGCAACTGTTGAACCCCTGCTGATGGCATCATGCCCTACGGGGTGAGTCTGGAAGCAATCCTTTTACTTCCTAGCTTGAGTCTCATGGTTTCTCTGTCTTGAGGGAGTAAAAGGTTTGTGAAGATACTATTAAAAAAAACCCAAAATTAACATTTTCAATGGCTGCTTAAACATAGTCATCCAAGGCAGCTGTAACCTAAGCAGCCGAAGTCCTCTTGAGCTGGGGCCAGTTTGGCCTATTGTCTCTCCTTCACACCCACAGTATAAATAAAAGCTGCAGCTTCTTAGGGGTAGGTGGGAGGGAGGAGATGGGAAAGCCACTGAAGTGCAATGTTGTATTTATAGTTGATGTGCATTCCTTGAAAACCTGTACTTCTCATCACTTCTGGCTGTGGTGGTAAGACAGGTCAATGGGGAGACAGGATGCAGTCTGTTAAGAGTGGGGCTTTATGATGAGTATAGGATCTTTGTGGGAGAATTATACAGCAGTTCTGACTTCTGATTAAGGGATAGGGAAAAAAAAGTGTTAACCTGAATATTGGGCTGGAATCTTAAAAAACTAAATGTTTGACAGGAGTTACATTCAAAGGGTTCATTTTAATTCAGAGTGATGTTTACTTTCAACTGTTCTTTAAATAACTTTGGACGGTGTCCCTCTGGAGTAGAAACAGCAGAATAAACTGAAGGACTTCTGCTATCAGTTAAATCTAGCAAATAGAATATACGAAAGTGATGTATCTTTGCTACTTGACAACAATATTGACATTGCACTCTCCTCTAGAAGGAGGCTATGGATGTTTATAGGTGGTGTACAAGTCTCTCTCATCTTCATTAGACAGCAGGTAGCTCTGTGATAGAGACAAGTTGCTGTTTATCACTGCAAGGTTGCAGTTTGGAATAGCTTAAAGCAAGTAATATAGAATATGAAATCCAAATAATATAGCATCTGAAAGGGTAATTTAAACCTGCAGAAGGTAGTTATGAAACTGTAGTTCAGCTAGAACTAGTAACATCTGTGGATTTGCAGTAAGTGCAACTGAGTCTTCATGAGTCTCTAACATTCAGGATTTTCTTTGAATGCTTCCTGTCACTTGCACACTGTTTTCAAAAGTACAGCTGCTGCACGGGGCATTTCATTAGACTGAGAGTGACTTCATTTCACCTTCAACTGAGTTTAAAACAAAACAAAAAAAGTCAACTAGGAAGAAGTAATAATAGAATCATAGAGTCGTTTTGTGTTGGAAGGCACCTTAAAGATCATCTGGTTCCAGCCTCCCTACCATGGACCGGGTCAGCTCCCACTAGAACAGGCTGCTCAGAGCCCCATCCAACAGCCTTGACCACTTCCAGGGATGGGGCAGCCACAGCTTCCCTGGGCAACTTGTTCCAGTGTCTCACCACCCTCACAGTAAAGAATTTCTTCCTAATATCCAACCTAAATCGACATCTTTTAGTTTAAAACTCAGTTCCCCCTCATCTTCTTAAGAGAGGTGCTCCAGCCTTCTGATCATCTTTGTTGCCTTCCTCTGGACTTGCTCCAGCAGGTCAATCTAATTTCAGAATAAGTGTGCACATATGGTGTTTATATTGTTATGTCAGTTTAATATGTATCATAACTTAAAACTTTTTTTGTGAAGACAAATCCTTAAAAGAAACATCATTTGCATCTGTGAGTTCACATACCCTCTTGATACATTCTAAGATAGACACAGGGTTTTATCTCACATGGTGACCAACACTGTGAGAGGATACCTTCTAAGAGATGTGGTGTAAGTTAACAAGTTTGGGGAAGGGTGGCCAGGTCAGAGTGTTATCTGGAGACCTACCTTTTGCCTGTGTATCATTGCCTGCAATGTCACTTTTTGTACTCTTCACTTCTGTGGAAGTATAATATAGAAGACAATAAAAATCAGGCATCCTAAGCACTTAAACTGCCAGATCAATATCAGGTCAAGAGAAGACATGGTTGTTTTGAAGGTGGATTTTTCAGGTGTTGAGCAATGATCTAAACTCACTTTCAGTGAAATCAATGCTTCCCATTGATTTTGATGAGTCCCAGTTAAGGCCCTGATAAGCACTTCTGTAAATGCAGCCTGATCCCCAGCTATACTTGATCTCAGCAAAAACCCCTCACCACTAAATGGTTGTGAACAAATACTGTGCAGTTCCATTTTTTCCTCCAGTAGGCTGTCACGTTCTAGCAGCAGAAGGAACGTGCCTGCTGTCCTTGTTTGCAAAGCACTTTGGGATCTCTCAGAGTGTAACATGAACACCAGTGGGCTGTGGCTCTCTCCCACCTGGGTTTCAGTTCCAGAACACAAGACTTTCTCACTTTTTTTTTTTTTCCCCCCTCTTAGCCTTTGCAACAGAGCACTCAGCTGCTGTTTGTGACAGCTGTTGTGTTTCCCTGTCTGCCTGCAGGAGTACCCAGGCAGCTGCACTGCCCAGCGGCCAGAGATGGCCAGAGCAGTGCCCAGTTTTGTTAAAAAGTAACAATATGGGGAAAGAGGGATGGGAGCAGAAAAATCTGTGACCTGGACTAGATTCTACAGCACATTATCAGTGGGTGCTGAGGGACCTGAATGAATTTCATGTCCAATGACATATACGTTTTCTGTGTTGCTGTCATACCAAGACTCACCTGCTGACTTGGAGAAAGTCATTAATCACAAGGTGATGCTGAGGTTCTCTGGGAAAGGAAGTGTTGCTGGCAGTGGCAAACAGCTGATGTTCATGTCTCATGGAAACTTAAACATGCATAAGTGTGTGTTCAGCATCTGCTGTCTGCATATGAGGTGACTCAAACACAGGGAGGGTCAGGTGTGACTAAGAACAGGCCTGTGATGTGCAGCATGACTTTTTTTTTAATTCTTGCATGCAGCTTTCTCATGGAGGATAGGGCATTGTATTTCAGTATTTGTCCGTTCCTGGTTTTATGTGCATATTTTTCCAACAATGATCAGTGTGTCTGTTTTGTGGCTTCACCTTTAAGCACTTGCCAATCAGTGAGGAGCAATTCAACGTGCATGACGCTTGGTGGTAGGTTTGTGCCATGTCAGGATTTCAGCTTTTGCACAACTTAATATTTCTTTTATTTGTATTCCAGAAAAAGGCATGGCATACAATTAAAACCATGGTTAACTTACCAGTCATCAGCCCCTTCAAGAAACGCTACTCATGGGTGCAGCTGGCTGGGCACACAGGTGAGACAGATACCTTCCATGTGTTTGCTTCTGGAGTGGGGATGGCAGCAGTGTGGAAAACAGTTTTTTCAGTGTTTCTTTATTTCCTTCAGGTAAAAAGAAGGCAGGCAATATCACATAAATCTGTGAACTACAACATCTTTGTTTCAGTTGTGGTGGGGATAGGGGAGGGGGAGTGATATACCTGAATAATGAGATGAGCAAGGAAGCAATGGTCAGACCCTGTGGAAGGCCCAGGCTCCTTATGCATCCTTTAAAGGTGATGTATGTAAACTATGTGTTAGTGAGGAAACAGGAGGGACTGGGGAGTTGAAGTCCTAGTCCATCTGTTGCTGTTGGTTGCAATATGGGATATCTTTCTTGACCGAGTAGCCACTATGTTCTTAGTGGGACAGATGACTGTCTGTGCCCGTATGTGCCTCAGCCCTGGCAAGGACAATGTTCCTAATACCAGCCCCAAACCCCTCATCTGAATCTAAGTCTTTGGGTGGAAAACAAATAGGGTGAAAACTGATCTGCATTGCGAATCTGACATTATTCACTGCATGAGTGCGAGGAGCTAGCTCAGTCAGCTGGTTCTGGTTTTGTGTCTGTAGAAGTTGGTAATCGTGCTACTGACGTAGGCTCTGTTTCATCAGTAAAGCAAAAAAACTAACAAAGAATAGTCATCAGGTTTGCTTCTCTCGTGCTTCATTTAATTCCTATGCAGCCCTTGTTCCTGAAGCACTAGTGTGGGGTTTATTAGTACACATGTGGGCAGGCACCTACGCTGCATCGTGCTTTAATGCAGTACCTGTAACACCTCTTTATATGCTAATGTACTAATGTGGTGCCGAGCTGTGCAGAGAAATTTATCTAGTCCTAGGAATGGAGTAGCTGCCTTTTATGCACTGGTGTTGGTGGGGCTGATTTGTGTGATGTGGAGAGCCAGGATGACCCAGTCTTGTCTCAGTTTTTATCACAGTGTGTGTGGGGTTGGCTTGATCTGTGTAGAGTGATGTGCTAGTCATGTTATCATAACCCTTGTAGAGGCTTGGGTAGTAGGGTAGAAGAGGAGGGTTAAGAGCATACTAAAAGCTGAGGAGGAAAGATACTGATTCAGGTTGCTTTGGATAGTTTTCTGTGGTTGCTTTTAGTCGATCCTTTTTGCAGCTGTGCTTCTCTGGTATGACAAGCTCTTTCTAAAGTAAAACCTAGACCATCACTGCTCTTGTCCTTGTGCTGAGGCAGTGCCAGTTCTGGGATTTGTCAGAGAAGAACCAGTTTGGCAGAGGAATCCTGCTGTGATGAAGAGAAACATTAGCCCCAGGATTAATGAGGCTCCAACTGTGGCACCTGTTTTATGTCATGTAGGTTAAAGAGTACCTCAGAACAAAATGTGTACCTTCCACAGACATTATTGGCAGGTTGCAGGAGAGGAGAGTGGCTGAGCAGCGGACTCCAGTCAGTTGGAGTCTAATTACTGCCAATCTTGGCCTTGCAGACCATCATCTGTACTGGGTATCATTCAGACACAAAGTTGCTTAAAACCAATTGCGCTCCAGTCTGTAACTGCAGATTAGGAAAGCTTGGGAGAAGGGGCAGTACCTGGAGGTACACGCATGTGCAGTCCCAGCTGGTGTGTGTGGAAAGGGCAGTGCTTGGCTTCTGGCCTGTTGGTGGCTGTTCAGTAATCACTGATTGACCGTACCACCTTGGTAGGTACACACTCAGCAGGTGTGTCCTGGGTGAGGATTAAGGGCAAAGCAGTGTTATCCAGCTTTAAAATAGCCCGTCAGAGGATTAATGAGTGCTGGCTCATGGCTTCTTCCTGTGCATTTAGTAAGTATAGTAGTGTTTAATATGCTAACAAAGAATTTAGCATGGAAAAAAAACCCAGCAACAATGATGGCCTGGAGCAGCTGCACTCCTTAAAGCTATAAATTCTGACGTGGGAATGTGTCCAAATGGACTTTCACTGCAGGGGAATTCTTTAACATGTCATGAGGCAGAGGTAGATGAAGCTGGAGTGGTGGGGGAAGGTGATTTTCTTTTTTGGGGTCAGCCTTATCAGCATGTGTTTGATTTTCTGTTTCAGGGAGTTTCAAGGCAGCTGATAGTGGGAAGATTCTCAAACGCTTCTCAGAGAATGAAAAGGAGTGTTTTGAGCGATTGATGAAAGACCCACTACGCTCCTGTGTCCCTTGCTTTCATGGTGTGGTGGAGAGAGATGGCGAGAGCTACATTCAGCTGGATGACTTGCTTACTGATTTTGAAGGGCCTTGTGTGATGGACTGCAAGATGGGAATCAGGTGGGGCACATGAAGAAGTGCTTTCTACCCCAAATGCATATGAAGGAAAGGGGGAGGGTGTGTGGTAACGCTCTGTCTGGAGGATTTTGGTAACATTTTTTGAGCCTTGGGATTCAGTCCAGACAACCTGTTGTCAGTTTGGCAATCACCTTGGAGAACCTGAGGAGAGTGTGTCCCACTGTTGCCAGGTTGTACATAAACTCTGGAAACTAACTGATCTATAGCCTCAAAAACTATCCACATCAAGACATTTTCAGGGGTGATTTAAAATGAAGTTTCTCTGCAGTGGCCTGATAATATGTAGGAAAAAAAATTACATGATTCATTCAATGCCAGTTGATTTAATCTTTGTGTATGCAGTGATTAAAATAACACAAAGAGTAAGATTCCTGTCTCCAAATGTGAATGAGTAGCAGTGAAAGCCCATTTCAAATGCCTGAATGAGTCTTCACTGGTGTTGATCTTTGCTGTAAAGGAAAGAGTTGACCATCTGCTCAAGACTGACATAGGTTTTTCCCTATTCTAACATTTCCATGATGCTATTGCCTTGCTCTCCAGATTCTCTCTTTTCCTTTACTGTCTGTGATTAAGAGGAAAACCACAAAAGTGTTATCTAAGCATAACAAATAGATAAGAAATCTGTTGAGAGCCTCAAGTAACAGTACAGAGAGGAATGAACTGTCATAGTGATCTTTCGGGTGACAGATCAGATGCTCAGGAATTGTTCTAAATTAGTTATTCAACTCACAGGAGTGCAGACAAGCATTTTCAAATAAATGCAAAATTTTAATTGATTTTTCAGCTAAAATCACAGTAGAAATGCATAGCACTTGTATGCCTGGAAGAAAAAGGAGAAGGATTTGCAGCAGTACATATTTTATTCAAAGTAGGTGATATTCTGGTAATGACTGACAGCATCTCCTAACATCAGCCTGGTTTATTACACTGTGATGAACAAAGTACATTCCAGGCACCTGACAGTCCAGTGGAATGTAGATAACATGGATAGTGCCTTTCTAATGGTTACCAGATTAAGGAGTTGAATGGTAACAGCAAAATGTGGAAGGTTTGTCACCCTTCATCTTCCTGTTCTTAGTTACTTCTCCTGGTTTGGAGCTACTCAGAGAATCTGCTTTACTCTCTATTTTTTACTGTATGAAGGATGATTCTGTCTTTCACTGTGATGCATTAAGTAAATCTTTCTGAGGCCTAAAAACATCATACATGACTGATACTAGTGTTTTGAGGAGAGAGAAGACAGTAAGACTTCAGCAGCCATGTTTGCTTTGAATTTAATTGTAAGTGATCCCTCCTAACTGTCCTTTGAAAATAAAGCAGTGTTTCACTACACAGCAGGAA